CAAACTTTCAGTTCTAGCTGGACCCCACAGGTCCGTGTGAACGAGTTCTGCATAAGTCTTTGCATGGCTCTTTGTTTCTTCTGGAAATGGCTGATGGGTAGCTTTCGCCTTGGTACAGGCTTCGCAAAACTCGGGTTGAGTGGCAGAGTCTAGCTCGACGCCCTCGACAAGTCCCTTCTTCACGGCCTCAGCCACTGCCGTCTGAGAGACATGCCCTAGAATCCGATGCAATTCGCAAATGGTGAGCTTGCCCTTTGCAATGTTAGCCCACTCCTTGTGCTGATTGAGGACTGTATAAAGTCCCTCAACTTGAGGTATTTCACCTATGAGCTTGCACTTGGGCCCAGGCAATAGGATCTTGCACTTTTGGCCCTCAAAATGGACAGAAAGACCGGCAGCTGTGATCTGGTTGGTGGAAATGAGGGTAAACGCCAGGTTCGGCGCATATAATGTGCTCTTTAGCGTTACAGAGGTGCATCTGTCGCCCAAGGGTAAGTCTATCCTTACATTGCCCTTGCCTATTGCGCTGACTGTGGAGCCGTCCGCAGTATGAATGTCTTGCGGCGCGATGGGTACGAAGTTCGTGAACTTGGAACGATCAGGGCAGAAATGGGAAGTGGCGCCTGAATCGACTATCACCCCACGACGGTCGTAAGGTATGCCTAGGTCTTTCGCCACCACTGCTAAGTCTGATGTTAGAAAAGCATATTCGTCCTGGGATTCACTTTGGGTCGCGGCGTTAGCAGCTTGCTTGGGTCCTCGACCTCCCTTCTTCTGCATCTGCTTAGGTCTCTGGCCTTCCTTCCCACCCCCTGGCCTCCAGCAATCGGCTTTATAGTGCCCCTTCCAGTCACAATTAAAGCAAGTGATATCGGAATTGTTCTGGGGCGCGCTGCTCGAGTTGCGTGGCTTGTTGTTACCTGTCTTTGCGGATAATGCGGCATTGCTGCCCTTCTTTGCAGGACGACGGTCGGTGAGCACTCTATGTTCATACTCCTCGCTGACAATGTTGATGAGTTCGTTGGGGGTGAGTGGCTTCTGGGCAATTTTAGCCACTGCATTCACTGATGAGAGCAAAGGACAGTAGGATTCGGGAAGGGAACCAAGGATAATGACGTAGAAGTCGCGATCCTTGATATCTGAGCCCATGCCAGCCAAGGATTCTTGGAGGCGCAAGAGCTCACTAAAGTGGGCCTTGACGTCTCCGTTCTTGTCGCATCTCATATCCTGGAGACGACAACAAAGGTCGATCTGGACTAGCTCAGTTTTGCCTTCATGGATGTCATGTATCTCCTCCCAGATCTCTGCAGCGCCGTCTAGCTTCTGCACGCGCAGGAGCAGTCGATCTGTGATCGTACTGAACATCTGCTGCTTCACGAGTGAGTCCTTTTGAAAATGCTCATTGAGTTTCTTATCTAACTCGTCAATCTCCGTCTGCATAGGTTTCGAACCATCATGTTTGGACACTACTTTCGTTGTCAGGTCAATTAGGAAGGGGGTAGGCTTCACTGCATGGCCGTCGACGTAGCGCATCAGACCTCTTGCACCAATGGCGGTCAACATTCGTTCCTTATAGGTAATCCAGTTGCTGCCATCCTCGGCTAGCTTTGGGATGTTGAACAATGCCGAAGTGGTGCTGGGGAGCGCGGAATCCATAGCCGTGTCAGGGCTCATAACCTGTAGTTATGATAGCAACCAGATGTGGAGAGTGAGCTGACAAGAGAATGTATTATCTCAGTATCTGATAGAAACTCTGTAGCACAAGTATAGTACCTGACAAGAGAATGTATTCTATGTCTAGTTAGCGCTCTGTATAGTATAGAAATAATGACAGCTTACATCTCAGTATCTGATAGAAACTGAGATGTTCGAATGGGATACTCATAGCTTTATACGTAGTCAGTATAACAACGCGAAATATAAGATGCATATAGGATGGCATAGGGATCAAGTCCAATTATCAACTAACCTCGGCCAACATTAATACATCGCCTCATCTCCTAGCATGGTTGCGCTCGTCATGTCTCACTCTGACATCGCTAGCGTTCCCTTCGTTTCGTCTTCCGATCCTCCCGATATGTCAGAGCTCAACATCAACATGTTCTGTAAGATCGACAAAGTTATTGACATCGGCACCCTACTCAAACAGCATGAACTTACTGATTCTGGAGACTTATCTGAAGATGAGAATGATGCAGCTCATCAAGAGAAGCAGCTGTCAAAGTTGTATGGCTAGCAAGTATCCTACTGATGGTGATGAACTAATTTTGTCTTCTATAGATTCAAGAAAACACAGGATCAGTACCAGAAGAACTATAAGCAACTACTGGAGCTTGCACCAGGCTTGAAACCTCTCATTGCCAGTGTTAGGTACCATGCTCGGGCAGAGAAGTGGAGGGGTCAGGGCTTGGCTTCAGCTCTTGTGCTGCACCCTTAGCCAAGCAAGCACGTGCCCCAAATTTGGAGCAGGACTGACATTGTCCAACAATAGGACAGGTGGTCCGCTTTGGTCCACTTTAAGGGTTGGGAGGTAAAGGCTACTAGTGGCAGGTTGACTAGGAGTGGGGCAGATGAAGCGGAGGAAGTGAGTCGGAGTGGAAGGGGACAAGGAGATTGGTTTATGGGGCAGAGGGAAGTAAGAGTAGTTTAACTTAGACTATGGCTCTAAGTTGAAGTGGAGGTGATGACACAATGAGACTTGTGTCCAGAGTGAGTAAGTCCTATGGAGAATTCCCACCAGTAGAAACTGAGACAAGACAAGTAATATTAAGACTAAGGAAACTAGCTAAGTACAGGATATGTTTATATACTTCTAAGTGAGAAGGCAGTGATCAGTATTGCATAGCAGAAAGCTATGTGCTGAGTGTATAGTATGTAAGTAAGTTTACCAAGGAAAACATATGCACCGGAGCGGATATCAATATGTATGAGACAGATCAGTAATTGGGCAGCTAAAGGAAATACTGGTGATCCGGGAAGTAAGATTTATGTACCAAAGGGGAAAGTATATACCTAATGGGGAAATGGTTCCAGTTGAATGGAGTTGATATGGGAGGTAACCAATGAGGCGGCAAAGTGGAAGCACTAGGGCAGGGAACGAGCAGAGCAGGATGAAGGGTAGAGCAGGAAGGATGTAGTCAGGTGGAGCAGATATCAATATCGTTGGAGTGGTTGAATCTGATATATGACAGCTGGCTCAAAGGACCTGAAGAGAGCCTCAGAACTCAGGAAGATAATCTGAAAGGTGAGTACATGTGCATATATGCACATGTTGTTGCCTCCTGATGTTTATTTTAGATGGAGTCTGCTATCTCAGGCACTCGCTCAGATGATTCAACATGTTTAAAGCTTCAGATCAGTAAATATGTGGCATTAAATCCAGCAAAGGATTGCCATATCTCCACCTCTTGATGACAGCAGTGGTTGTAGATCTCATATGGGCATAAACCATCCGGTATTAGCCCACTTTCTTTGTCCAATTGGTGAGATCGACTGTCATATACCTGATCTGACCACTCCAATATTAATATCCGCTCTGCTTTCCGACCGCCTCCACTCCATCTATACTCCACTCCATCCAAACATCATCCGCATCCGCCCCTACGTTTCCGCTCAACCGCCCAACCGGTTCCCTTCCATAAACGTCTCCATTCAACTGGGACCGCTTTCCCCTTTTAGATATATACTTTCCCTTTCGGTACATAGACCCTTACTCCCGGATCACCGGTAATTCCTCTTACCACTCGATCACTGATCAGACGCGTACATATTGATATCCACTCTGACTTATGTCTTCACCTGTGTAAGTACTTACAAATTATATCCTTGGTACATAGCTTTGCAACATAGTTATCCTGATCACTGCCTCATACATAGAAGTATATAACATATCCTGTACTTAGATATTTTCCCCAGTCTTAATATTACTTGTCTTCTCGCAGTTACTACTTGTGAGAATTCTCAGTAGGACCTTGCCTCCTCTGGACACAAGTTTCACCTTGTTGTCACCTCTGACCCTCCGCTCCGACTTAGAGCTGCGCTCTAAGTCTTCTCTTTACCTCTCTGACCCTATCAAGTATTCCCCCTGCTCCTCTCCACCCTCCGCATTATTCTCCGCCTTCTCCACTCCGCTCCTAGTCGGCCCGCCTGTTTGAGGGTCAGGTGGTAAGAGCTACTAGCAGCGGACTGACTAGGAGTGGGGCGGAGAAGGCGGAGGATAATGGGGAGGGTGGAAAGGGGCTGGGGGAATACTTGATAGGGGCAGAGAAGTAAAGAGAAGACTTAGAGCACGGCTCTAAGTCGGAGCGGAGGGTTGGAGGTGACAACAAGGTGAAACTTGTGTCCAGAGGAGGCAAGGTACTACTGAGAATTCTCACAAGTAGTAACTGCGAGAAGACAAGTAATATTAAGACTGGGGAAAATATCTAAGTACAGGATATGTTATATACTTCTATGTATGAGGCAGTGATCAGGATAACTATGTTGCAAAGCTATGTACCAAGGATATAATTTGTAAGTACTTACACAGGCAAAGACATAAGTCAGAGCGGATATCAGTATGTACACGTCGTATCAGTGATCGAGCGGTAATAGGAATTACCAGTGATCTGGAAGTAAGGGTCTATGTACCGAAGGGGAAAGTATATATCTAAAAGGTGAAAGAGGTCCAGTTGAATGGAGACGTTATGGAAGGGGACCGGTTGAGCAGTTGAGCAGAAGCATAGAAACGGAATGTGGACTGTGATTGGACGGAGCAGAGGATGGATGGAGCGGAGGTGGTCGGAAAGCGGAGCAGATATCAATATCAGAGCGGTCAGATCAGGTATATGACACCGCCACTAGTAGTTCTTACCTCCCGACCCTCAAAGCAGACCTAAGTGGTCCACTCGTCCTACTGTCAGACAACGTCGGACCCGCTCCAAATTCGGGGCACATACTTGGCTAAGGGCGCAGCGCAAGAGCTGAAGCCAAGCCCTGACCCCTCTGCTTCCTGAGCCGGCATGGTACCTAACATCGACAGACCCAAAGAGGACCTGAAGGTGTAGGTTTCATTTGTTTGTATTACTCTCTGTACTACTCACTTTACTTTAGTACAATCAAATGCCTGCAAGATGGCAGAATTAAACTGATGGCAGATGCATTTCTGGCATTCCTTTGGAAAGGTGATCTACCTGGGGCTGACTATGATCTGAACGACATGATGGACAGTTTTCTAGAGGGCTTCACCCTCGAATGTGTGGGTATAACTGTGACTTGCCCCTTCATGCCTCTCACTTTATTTTTACACAATGCAGCACATCTTCATGGGACCTTCTACTGCTCTGGGCTCCCAATCACATGGGATGTGACTGTGCAATGCCATTTTGCATGATATAACCACTGTTGAAGCAGCACACATTGTGTATGGCTGTGTACAGGTACATTCTTAATCTCGTCACTCATAGCTCACATTGAATTCTCAAAGATCCATTTCAGAATCAGCTTGAAAAATGTCTGGACCAAGGTGGACAGCGATTTCAAGTATCACAACTTCTACTGTAACATTGTTGATTTTATTGAAGACCTGCCCAAAGAGGACAGGGAACAACTATTGAAGAACTGGAACCTGTAAGACAACCTTTTCATTGTCTTACTGTGCTAACAGCGCATAAAAAGAAAACTGTTCAATAACGAGGACAGACATGACAGGGCAAGAGATGACACTGACAACTCAGCACCCTCAAGTGCTCACAATGGTAGCAGTGACTTGGCTTGCTTGCATGCACAAATGGCAGCTCACAGTGCTGCAGCCAAGACTCGCACTATGAACTCAGAACACCCAGCTGCATCTCCTGCAGTAGCTTGTCCACAACCTGCTTGGGAGAACCCTGTTGAAGCCTGAGTTGAAGGCTGAGCAGGAGATGTCAAAGTGAGACATTGCAAGCGCTAACCAATTGAGGAACTTACAACCAAGTGATGTCAGTCACAGAATCTCATAAGTCATCATTTATTTCCTATGCTACAGTTTATTACTTATCACTATGCTAACTACCTTAAAACTACAAGTTGTCAGACCGAACATCTCAGTCTGTTTCCTGAGACTGAGATGTGAGTTGAAGTTCCCACTTTACGTTACAACTAGAACTAACAGATACTTAGATATATTCTCTTATCAGGTACTACTATAGTTATTACCGAGTCTGTTTCCTGAGACTGAGATATATATTCTCTTATCAGCTCACCTTTCTCACTCCCTCTAAGCCTCTCATCGCTAGAGGTTATGAGCCCTGACTCGACTATGGATACCGCTCTCCCCAACACCTCTTCTACACTCTTTAGCATCCCCAAACTTGCCGAGGATGGCTCGAATTGGATTACCTATAAGGAAAGGACATTAACGGCTATAGGTGCCCAAGGGCTGATGCGCTATACCGATGGTCGAGCCCAGAAACCAGTTCCATTTGTGATTGATGAGATGACAAAGGCCTTGAAGAAGCCTGATGGCTTTAAGCCTATGCAGACCGAGATCAACGAGCTAGATGAGAAGATTGATGAGTTCTATCGAAAGGATGCACTCATCAAACAGCAAGTGTTCAGCACTATAACTGATCACCTTTTGCTGCACGTTCAAAAGCTTGATAGTGCGTCCAGCATCTGGGATGAAATCTGTCAGATTCACGAGGGTAAGACTGAATTGGTTCAAATCGACCTACGGTGCCACATGCAGGATATGAGGTGTGATGAGAGTGGCGATGTCAAAGCGCACTTCTCGGAACTGTTAAGGCTTTGTGAGTTGCTGGTGGGGATGGGATCACTCATAGAGGACCGCGATTTTCACGCGATACTCCTTGGCTCGCTTCCTGAGTCGTATCGACCCCTCCTCTCCTCTATAAACACGGCCGCGAAGATAACGCAGAAAGCACTCACTCCTAATGAGCTCATTACTGTCATCTCAGAGGAGTATGAGCATCTTATGCTCATGGACCGTCGAGGGTCCAAGAAGGGAGGAAACTCGGCCCTAATGGCCAAGTCTGGTGGTGGCAGGGGCCGCAAACCAGGTGCAACACCCCAAGCGAACGCAGACGTTATGTGCTTCAATTGTGACAGGAAAGGTCACTATCAGTCCGATTGTTGGCGTCCTGGAGGTGGAAAAGAGGGTCAGGGACCGAATCAGCGCCAGAAGAAAGGAGCGCAATCACCCAAGGAAGGAGCTAATGCCGTCACCTCAGACCCCAATGCTCAAGACAACTACGCTTTCGCTACCTCGAACTTGGCAGGTATAGCCAAGTAATTGAGTGTTCCCGTCGAACGCTGCAGTGCGATTATCGACTCAGGCGCCACATCACATTTTTGCCCCGACCACACAAAATTCATCAACTATGTCCCTATAGAACCACAGGACGTACATACCACTGATGGATCGACTATTAGTGCTATTGGAAGGGGCAATGTGAAGGTAGACTTACCAAATGGGAAGGGGAGAACAGCAGTTATGCTTAAGGATGCCCTTTTTGTGCCGAAGATGGCGTTTACGCTCATCTTGACAAATCGAATCACCGCCGCGGGCCTAGCCATCCATTTCGAGGATCGCATGTGCAAAATCTTATCCCCCAGCCCTAAACGCGATATAATTGCTACCATCCCTCAAGTGGAAGGGCTATACAGCATTGCAGCGCGTTCTCAGCATCACGCGCACCTGGCAAAGGGTAAACTTACCGTGCATGAACTGCACAAGGTACTGGGTCATGTTTCTCAGACTGCAGTACTTGACGCCGTCAAGAAGGGATTAATAGAGGGTGTCAAGCTAGACTCCACCTCTCAGCCCGACATCTGCGACGCTTGTGTTAAGGCAAAGGCGTCACGTCAACTGTTCCCAAAGGAGACAGAGACTCGAGCGACCAGATATGGGGAGGTCATCCATACCAACCTGTGGGGTCCCACACGCACGAAGAGCATCGGGGGTTGCTCCTACTATATGAGCTTCACTGATGATTACAGTCATCAGACAATCGTCCATTTTCTCAAGCAGAAGGACAAAGTGCTCACCTCCTACAAGCAGTATGAGGCCTGGCTACTTCGTCAGCGCGACGGCACTTGGGTGAAGACGCTGTGCTCTGATAGAGGTGGCAAGTACTTGAGTGGAGAATTCAAGTCATACCTGCAAAATCAAGGTATTGAGCAACAGCTCACTGTCCATGACTCACCTCAGCAGAACGGTGTGGCTGAATGCCTCAACCGCACTCTGGTTGCCCTTGCTCGAGCAATGCTACTTGCCTGCGATCTTCCGACTTTCCTCTGGGCTGAAGCCATCAACTACGCTACATGGTTGAAAAACTGTTTACCTTCACGCACGATACCAGGACACACTCCATTCAAACTCATCCATGGGAGATGCCCCTTGTTGGAGTATGCCCATGAGTTCAGATCTCCCATATATGTCCACATCACCGATGGAGGGAAGCTTGATGCGTGAGCAGAGGAGGCAGTATTTGTCGGAGTCGACGACCAGAGTAAGGTTTATCATGTCTATTGGCTGGAGAAGAGGAGGGTTTCGGTGGAGAGGAATGTGAGTTTCGTACCCCAGACTGTAAGTGTCGAGTCGGACATACCGAATGAGGGGGAGTCGCAGTCATCGCCACAGCCATCAACCCCACCAACCTCACAGAACAGTGTTCAGAACGTACTGCCTCTCCAACCCCCTACTACCCCAACCAGACTGCAGCAGCAAGCTATAACACCCCCAGCCCCTCGAGTAACGCATATGAGGCCGCCGCCAGGATACTATACAGCACTTAACGAGGGAGAGAGAGCGAGCCTTGCAGCAGAGTCCATCTTTGAGGCTACAGAGTCAGATTTTGTCGACGAAGATGCGGTAACTCACTGGCAGGAGTTGGCTCTAGCAGCTGCAGAAGCGGAACCAACCCTGAGCCAGGCGTTGAACGGTCCAGACGCGGTAGAATGGCAGGAGGTGATAGACTATGAAATAAGTCAACTTGAGAAGCTGGGAACATGGGAAGTCGCTGACAAACTGTCAAACACTAACATCATCCCATGCCACTTTGTACTAGCTACTAAGCGAGGCCCTGACGGCCAGAAGCTAAAGCTACGCGCTAGGCTTGTCACGAACAGCCAGTGCCAGCAGTATGGCCATGACTACTTCGAGACTTTCACAACGACATCCAATATGTCTACCATAAGGACCATCCTCACCATGGCCACTCAGCAAGACTGGGAGATTCATCAAGTAGACATCAAGAGCGCCTACCTTTATGCAGAAATCAAGGAGACCATCTATATGAGGGCGCCGCCTGGATACTTGAAGAGGGGAGAGGAGGACAAGGTGCTGAGACTGCTGAGGAGCTTGCCTGGGTTAAAGCAAGCTGGTTTTGAATGGTCAGAGGAGTTGGCTGGCACGTTTAGGAAGATGGGATTCTCTAGGTCCCAGGTTGACCAAGCGGTCTATTTCAAACGATCATGTGACGAGCACACGGTCATCACCATATCTGTGGATGATATGGCCGTGACATCAAGCAACCTGACGCACATCACGCATTTCAAGGCACAGCTACGCAAACTGTTCGAGATTACTGACCTCGGTGAGCTGCACTGGCTCTTAGGCCTGAAGGTAATGCGAGATCGAATTGCGTGCACCATTACCCTATCACAGAACGCCTATATCGAAACCATCCTCGAGCGTTTTCACCTCAGTGACACAAAGACCGCACAGACCCCGATGGACGTTGGCGTGGTACTATCAGACTCCCAATCCCCCGCCACTCATGCTCAACTTGAAGATATGTGCGATGTACCATACCAGAGGGCCATAGGCTCCCTCATGTATGCGGCTACGAGCACCAGGCCCGATATTGCATTTGCCATCGCAACGCTCTCGCAATTTATGCGAAACCCTGGTAGAGTCCATTGGGAAGCGGCAAAGCATGTCATATGATACCTAAAAGGTACTGCTGACCTTGGACTTACCCTAGGTGCGACAGACGCAGGTTTAGAAGCATATGTTGATGTGGATTGGGCTTCCCAGCCACATCGTCACTCTATGTCGGGATACATCGTGCTGTTGAACGGCGGACCAGTTGCGTGGAGTGCGCGCAAGCAGCCTTTGATAGCCCTTTCGACGGCTGAGGCAGAGTATATCGCTTTAACGACGGTTGCAAGAGAGATATTGTATTTGCAGCTGCTCACCGAAGAGCTGTACAAACCACCCACTCTCCCTACTCCAGTCTACTGCAATAATCAAGCCGCGATCGCCCTTGCATCGAACAACAAGTTCCAGTCGTGAACTAAGCATATTGACCTACATTATCATTTCGTATGCACTCACGTCAAGAACAGGACATTCGCACTCACCTAC